CATAGGAAGCTGGGGAAGTTCCTGCTGCTGTTTCCACTTCTGTCCCTCCTCCCATGATAAATCCTTTGGTCGTGCTCTGTTAAAATGTCCTTGGCAGCTCCAAATGGTTGAGTCGCTAGGACTTCGTTAATGTTCAAGATGTGAAATAAAGGAGATCTTTTAAAGGAATTCTGTTTCATCAGGGACTTGCTATTACTGTGCTGATGCAATAGCATATAGAAAATGAATATATATTGATATAAGGGGAGTTTACTGACTTGGCGTTATCTCCACTTTGTATAGGGGACAAAAACTGGCTCTGAATGAATATGGTCAGTCAGAGAGAGGCACAAAACCCTTATTTGTTGTGGTGTGTGCACTGTTTATTCAAACCAGTGTTTCCATATCAACAGGGAATCTGTGCCAGAGGCAGCTCTAAAGTTAAGAAAGAAATTGGCCTGGTTGAGAGAAACCCTCCTGCCTTTCCTGGGGGACCGATGGTCGGGGAGGGCACTGGTGAGATCCCACTGTTTGGAACAAAGTCCAGTGATTAATGGTGGGAGCGATTTGCTGCTTTTCCTGTTGGAACAGTCACAAGCAGACATTCCGAATTTTTAGGTCTGTCAGCCTGGATGACCTACTTCCAGTCCGTGGAGCTGAAATGCAAATGACTGTCTTCCAGTACAGATCAGTGCCACCTTTCTGAAGGACAGGAGAAGCTTCTAGGAAGTTTAGGTAACTGGGATTTCACGTCCTTTAGCCTTTTCTCTCGATGCCACGAGCAGTTTTGCCTGAGCCCTTTCTCTGGACAGCACACCTCTAGTAGCATCCCTGGGAAGGGGAGTTCTGTGCACAGACAAAACACACACAGCCAACAGCAGGCAGGGGGAATTTCTAAACAGCACCTGCCTTTGTTGTCATGGGAATTTGGTGATCTAGATCCCTTTTTCCCTGCCATCAGGGACCGTTCATCCCTCTTTAGTCAGACAAAGCACCAGTGGTTTCTGTAGGGTCAGCATAGATTTGGAGCACTTGGGGTTCGCCGGACTTGGAGGGGGGCTGAGCTGCTTTCGGTGCCTTGGAGGTTTACTGCACGGTGAGCTCAGCAGGAGCTGGAGCCTGTGGCCAAATGGTAGTCTGCTCGTGGGAAGGGGAATTCAAGCCTGCGCTTCAGATCCCGCGTGGCTGGAGGAAGGCGGGTTGTGAAGTTAGTGTCTGTTGGTAGCTTCCTCAGGTGAAGTCAGGATGGCCCCTTCATTCCAGTTTTCTTTTATTAACATTTTGAGAATGAGACAGGCTTTTTTAGTTATCTGCTGCACTCACATAATAGCATCAGACCCAAAGAACATTTTTCTTTTTTTTTTTTTCTCTTTGCAGTAAGCATGTGGGGGCTTCACTGCTGCAAACTGGGCAGGTGCTGTCAGGTGAGGACTGTGGTGATATCCCATAAAGGCAGCAGCTGCTCTACACCTAGCAGAAAAGCTCCAACAAGTCATGGCCTCATGCCTCACTAGCAAGTTTTCATTTGTCCCAGCCCTCCTTTCACTTAGGGCTGATTTTTCAAGCGGGGCATGGCTGCAGAAGCTTTATGTTGTGTAAAATAGGTAGAAGATGGCATGTGAAGGGACTAGCTGTGGTCAAAGTTGACTATGACACGTAAGGGCAAACAGATCCTTCTGAAGATCAGTGCCCACGCGTTCCTTGCAGGTTGTCCTGCAAAGGCTTGGATCATTATTAGAGTAACGTGACTAGCTGAAGGGCTTCTCTGGTGATAGCCCTAGTGCCGTAGCAGGGGGCTTGGTTAGCTTTGTGTTTCTGATGTTTCAGCTGATGACTCATTTAACGGAGTTCCTACTCGCCTTGGGTATCCTCTTGCCTTGGACAAGCCCATGAAGTGCTTTGTAGAGCATGTCAGGGGTCACAGGCAGGAGCTGTGCATTTTTTCAGCCAAGTGCTCCTTCTCACCTTGGTCATTGGGAAGCTCTGTTCTCGGCTGGGCTATGTGCTCCCTGAAGAAAGGAGGAAGCTTTCCATCCTTCAGGAAATATTTGATGCTGAGTGATTTAGGAAAATCAGTCTTTCTTGGTCCCTTAAATTGTTATTTACTAGCTTGCCAGAAGGTCCAGGGGTGCCCTCTCGTCCTTCCTTTCCAGCTGCATTGCAAGCTGGACAGGTCTGGGAGCTTCCTCCTCTGCAGGTGAGTCAGGATCTGGGCTGCAGCATGTAAGGTGCCTGAGAGCAGACACAGGGATGCTGCAAAAGCCTGGGACTCACTTTCCTTTCCAATAAACTTCAAATGATGCTGGTGATAAGTGAGTGTTAAAATGCATTTAGGGAAATGGTGATTTTCGGGTTGCCAGGCCTCTTTGCAAGTATGGTGTTGGAGATCTGTGACCTTTAACGTAACATTAGTGGTCTGGTTGGAATGATGCTCAGTTTAGCTCCCTCCCTCCCTGGTCTCCGGTGCTGCTGAGGACTTGCATCTTTCTGAAGCTTTTTTGGGGAATGGTTCAAAATGGGTTGTAAGTGCTGACGGCTCGTTTCCCATCACCTATCTGATAAATGATTGAAGAAAGTGGTGCTGCAAAACTCATTTGGAGGAAAAATAAAATCCACTCTAATGATAGCTCTTCAGAATTAGTCACGCTGTTTCGACCTGAGATCCTGCCCGTCAGTTCTGCTTGAGAAAGGCACCTGGGCTTGGGCCAAGACCACACTTCTTCAGCAACACATGTGGTAGGTGCATAACCAACCTGTGTTCAGTGAAGCTGAACCTTTATTGGGGATGTGCCACCTCCAGTTTCTTCCAAAATGCTGTTTGTGGGAGAACATGTAGCATTTCTCTAGGCTTCCTTCATGGAATTCCTTGATGCGTATTTAATATTTTCTGTAGTGGTAATCCTGGCTGAACCATGAAGGAGTAGGATTGTTCCAGCAATTTTCTTCCTGCTTAATCAATAATTCCTACCTCTTCATGAGACTTCTTCAGTTTTTCTGCTAACCCTTGTGTCACCTGGCCAAGCTCATTAGGGATTCGTAGCCCAGTTGAGCATTCCCCCCCGTTGGTGTTTCTGGCAGTACATCCTCCTTTACCATTCACCCTTAGCCAAACAAACATTGAGGACCTCCAAAGATCACCCTGGGGGAGGCCAAGGGGAGGTTGGGAACTGACCAAGGGCAGGAGTTTTCAAAAGCCTTCCACTTCAAATTAATTCTGCGGCTGCTGAAGTTAAAAACAAAGCCATCTGAGATCTGAGGACACTTGGGAATCCCTCCCTGGCTGCGAGGACGCAGCCGGAGCGCTAAGCCAGACGGAGAAGGGGTATGAGATGGGGCCAGTGGTGCCTCCAACCAGCATGGCGAAGGCTGTGGAGCTTTGCTGGTGCCCCTTTGCTGCAGCCCAGCATCAGGCCTGCTTTGGCTAATTCAATAACTGAGCAGAAAAACAATCCACCCTGGGCCAGGCCAAAGAGATTTCAAGTGCCAGGAAGATATCAGAAAAAAAGGCAGGAGAGGCTGGTTTTTCAAAACTCAGCCACTGCTGCAGCCTTTTCCCATTATCAAACCAAAAGCAGTCGGTGACATTTCTCCCTGGCTGGACTTGGTTAATGCTGTGTCAGCTGGGTGGTGCGTGTTGCAGAGCCCCGTGAGCCTGCTCACGTCCGCTGTGGGACAGTCACCGTGCGGAGGTGCAGGGATGGGAGCAGCAACCTTCCGGCTGCAGGGAGCTATTTTTAGCGTGAGGCTGTAGCTCAGCTTTGAGAGAAGGCGTATAAATGAGAGTAGCCCTGGCAGTTGGCTGATGAGAACCATGCTGGTCAGCAGATTTCTTCTGGCACTCAGGTTTAATGGTGATGAGCATAGAATTGGACTTGGGAGAGCATTTGGATGACTTGGGAAGGATTGCTGCAAATGAATTAAATACAGCTTTATAGGTTGTCTTCTAAGCTCAGTGTTTTACTGCTGTTCTAGAAGCACCTCCCCATCCAGGCGTGATCCTTTTCTTTTCCTCAGAAACCCTCTCTGATTTCTCTGTTCTTCATGGATGCTCCTTCTCACCTCATTTCTTCCCAAGGCTTTCTCTTCCTTCAGCTTTGTGGGAGGTGAGGAATGTTGTAGCCATCCAGTATCATTTTGTGGAAGGTTTGAGAAGGAGGTTTCTCCTGGGCAGAAGGTCTCTAATGATGGCCTCAGAGCACATGCCCTGCTCTGTGCTCTGAGGGCAGCAGCCCGTGGGAGGTCTGAGGGCTGGGGTGACGATAGTGGGAAGTGGTAACAAGCCAGTCTCTCACCTGGACAGTTACTGAGACCATTACCATAGTTCCAAAACCAGCATGCCTGCTACTTTTGCCCAGAGACTCCTCTTGTGCTGGCCTGCTCAGGCAAGCGAAACAGCAGCTGTGGACAACCTCAAGAGAATTTTAGATCAAGGGAGAAGCTACAGGCTAGAAAACATGCTCCTAGAAGCCTGCACTGAGCTTAGTGCTCAGTGGAACTTGAAAAGACAGGTACACAGTGAAAGGCGGGTGCCCAGCTCCTGGCATCCATCCTTAAGGGTTCCTTTGCCTCAAGTCAGTTGTTCCTGTAGCAGCCACCACAGATGGTGGAGTTGCCCTTTCACTTCTAACACGTCCCTGCCCTTCTCCATTGTGCAGATGGCCAGACAGCAAGGTGGTGCAGTGCTTCTGCCTGACACACTGCCCAGACCTACTCAGCATCCTCAGTGCTGCGCACCTTTTTCTCCTCCAAATAGTACTCTCTCAGGTCTGTCAACAAAAACAACAGCTCCAAGAGGCATAGTCGTCACAGCATCGCCTTGGCTCTGTGCACCGATATATTGTTCTTCTGGGGCTGATCTTCTTAGCATTTGTATCTCAGCAGCCTGATGATACGTATTGGTGAAAGATGTGTTCTGACCAAAGAGGAAATGTGGGTGGAAACCGGGTAAATTTGATTGAACGTTCTTGTTTGAGTACCTAACTAGACTTAATTTTCTTTTCCTTCCTCTTTCACTGATGCAGCTGAAGAATAAATTCATGAAGAAATTGCCCCGTGATGCTGAGGCCTCCAATGTGCTGGTTGGGGAGGTAGACTTCCTGGAGAGCCCTTTCATTGCCTTCATCCGGCTGCAGCAGGCGGTCATGCTGGGCGCCCTGACCGAAGTCCCCGTACCTACCCGGTAAGAGAATTCACCCCAGGCAAGCGAGGAGAATTGGAAACTGCATTTCAAGTGCAAACACCAGGCCAGAAGAAGACATTCTCCATTGCTTTCCATCCTGTGACGTGCATAACGGTCAGGATTACTGGTTTAAAGTATCAAAACTCACTGTAGGCACTTTATCATTTTCAGGTCCTGAATTTGGTTGTAAGATAGAAGCTGTAAAATACACAAAGGTTACACAAACATGCTTTATAAAAGGTTCTTTATTCCTTAGCATTACTGACCTCTGTATACTTGTTTCAGCTTCGAAGTTTATTGCCACTTTGTCTGTTTTTTTAAACACATCTCCAAATGCTTTTCAGATGTAAAATTAGGCATTGTTTGTTTTGGTAGCGGGAGCCAGGAAGTTAGATCTAGGATTGCTGAACAACCTCATTACTCAATAGCATTAATCAAGACAATATGTCCTTCCATGCCAACATTTTTTCCAGGAAATAGTATTATCCATTTGCTGTCCTCCCAACCAAACGCAAGCACTAATCAGAGCAGGGAGGCTCATTAGATGGCATCCATGAGTGCTGAAGAGCTATTTGTGATGGCTGCATCCTGTGAAATTCAATCACGGAAATCCCATCAGGGCCCAGACCAGCTATGTTGGGGCGTCTCCTCTGTCTATAGTCCCTGCCCTGTTTTAGTTTATTCATGTTGTCCTAGGAAGAAAAAGGATTGTGTTGTGCCTAAGGTAGACAGTCTTCAACATGCAGACTTCCACTTATATAGGTTACTTTGCTGATTTTTACTTTTTCCTCCTCCACACATTCGTTGGCTTTTGGATTTCTGTTTTAAGTTACAGAATTTTGGAAACTTAGAAGTAATATTTCCCATGTAGAAATCACTATTTCTTGCATACACGAATTTTCTGTACATTTTCTATAAAATTTCTATAAAATTTTCTAAATTTTCTGTATAATTTTTCCATCATACTTGCTAACTATTTGAAGTATTTCCATTACTTAGAAGTAAATTTTTACTTAAACCAGCAAGATCTCATGAACTTCTTAGGAAACGTTTCTCAGCGATGTGTTTTCATACAGCCCCAGTAATAAAAAACAGGGATCTGAAACTGGTATAGAGAGGTCACAGCCTTTCACTGTGATGTCTTTTCTTTTTAGTTATGAGATTGAAAAAACCTTCAAGGACTTTGGTTTTCTCGTGTTGAATTTCATTCCACAGCACTATGGACTCCTCATTTTGGCAAGCACTTAAGTACCATGCTTGCACCACGGGTCTGGCTGCTTCTCCTCTGGACAGTGCAGTAGACAAAGCTTTTTATTTTCATAAAAGAAATGTGCAGTCATGTGTTCAGGGCTGCTGCATTAAGGTGATGTTGATGGGGAAAGAAGATGAAGAATGAGCAAGGGAAAGATTTTTGTTGGAGATAAGCTGTACAGACTTGCACAGTCTAATAGGTAGTGCTGGGAAATTGCCTGTGTCTACAAGTCTCAAATGAAGTGAAGTAACTTGCCCAAAGGTTGCTTGTGAAGCATGCAACAGAACCAGGAGTCAGGTTCTCTCCCTTTACCTCCTCACTTAAACGTTTAACAGCAAAAGCATCTTTTCTTCTGTGTAGGTGAGGATGAAGGGTGCTTCTTGTTCATTAATTAAAGCGTTGAAATGGCTTTCAGGGTTGTGTCCTTGAGCAGCCTTCCTGGCAGGACTCACTCTGGGAAAGCAGCTCTGGCAACAAAGGACTACCTTTGCCACGTTCATGGGCACCATGTGAGAAGCCTGCAATGTCAGTATGTTGCCCAAAACTTGAAGGATCACCTTTGTGAAATAGAAGATGGACCAAACGCTTCACTGTCTCCTTTTGTTCCTACAGTCTCAGGTTGTGCCTCTTTCATCAGCCGTCCAGGCCACAGATCCTCCTGGAGAAGTACATCAAGAGGTTGTTCTTTCGGCCCTTGAGTCCGTCAACATGTGTCTGTGCTGTGAATGCTGGATGCCCTGAAGGCATCTCACATGGTGTCCATCAACAGAAGAACTGCTTCCCCCTGCCCCTCTCAAAAATAACATAATTTTCTCCAGGACCTTACAGTGCTTCCTTTGTGTAGATGCCTTGAACCCTTATGGAGCTGTTGCTCTTGCTTGCTCCAGATTTGAGACGCAGGCATGGATGAGCAGGCTGAGTTTGAATCTTGGTTTAGTTGCTCTTCCTCTTTTTAAAAATTTTTCTTATTCTGGGGACAGGACATAGGACAACCTTGTCTTCTGATGGTCAGCTTGCAAAAAGACCATGGTGAAGCTTGGTCCAGGGACAGTTTTTACCACAACTTTTACCCTGTATGGGAACTTGATTGTCACAGACATGGTGGATTTCTTGCAGGATGTCCCAAATGGATGGCAAAATATTAGTTCTGCACTGGCTTTGGAACCTGTCTGCACTGTTTTCACTCCCCACCTCCTAAGTGTGCTCTTCATGTGGTTTTGTGGAGATTTCTAGCCAAATTTCTCAGAAGCACAGCATGTAAAGCCTTGTGGCCTCCTTGGGCAAACTAGGTTGAAATCCTGCTCCTCAGTCTCTGCTGTCACCTCCCACCAAGGTCCAGGAGGGTTGTTCTTGCTCGTTACAGGTTGTTAGCTCCACAACCCCAGGTTACTGGGCCTGTACACAGTACTGCTGTGGTGCTACGTTTAGATCTTCTGGGTTCCTCAGATGGGTTTATGTTGCATTGGCCGAGGCACATTTGTCCATTTTGAGTTGGAATTACTCATCTGTGAGAGCAAACTTATTCTTGTTGGGTTTGGTGTCATAGTCCATATGATGTAAGAGGTGAATCATATGTAGTCGGTGGTCATCAGCTGCTGAGGAAGGGTAAAGTGGGCAGGAACAACAGGAGGAATAGTGCTTTAGGTAAAACAGGATAAGAAATTGCTGAGTTTCTGGCTCATTATCAACTTGGGAGCAAGGGATTTGGAGTGCTTTGACTATGATACAGAGTTCAAAACCAGGTGTCCTGGGTGTGAGGGCTGTCAACCCTGTCTGGAAGCTGTTGCCCAGAGCATTGGGGAGAACCATTGTATTTTGTGAGGTGAAACCTCTTGTTCCCCATGTTGAAGCATCCTTAGCAATAAGAAATATTAACAATAGATATTTGATAACTCAGCATGTGTTGTGTGCAGCAGAGAGCAGGAAGAGAGCCAGATGATGTAATAATTCAGAAGATGGTTATGAATATGTCTGTTTCCCCCTGGAAAATCAGGAGAATGCTGAGCAGCAACTTCTGGACTTATGAAACTTTTTAAAACAATTATTATCTTTGGGTAATTTGCATCCTAGAGTTTTAAAAAAGTTGGCTGAGGAACAGTTTGTCTTGCTAGTCACTTGTGAAGCACAGGGAAAGATCCAGGAGTTAGGAGGAGAGCAGAGGACATGACCTGGGTGTGTTTGGCTTAGTCACCTCCACGTGAACCTTAAGTGAAAGCCTCATGAAGAACTCGATCAGGAAGTGTTACTGTTAGTACTACCAATTAATGTGTATTTGTGGATCCTGCCCTGCTAACTTGATGCCCTTTTTTTATAAGACTCTAGATTTTTTTAAATAGCAAGTACTTGTTTGGATATAGCATATCTTCTAAGATGTTTGACTTGGTACATCATCATATTTTGGTTTAGGAAGCTAAAATAATGCTTAATGATGATGTCCTGTCCCCTGTCTCCATGCTCCTAACTTCATTTTCTCAGGAAAGCAGGTCCCATGAAGTTCCTGAGTTAGGAACATCGGGTTCCTTCAGGCCTAACTATGGTTCAGGCCATAGGTTAGTCCATCTGATTTGCACTTTTGTCTTCTGTTTGCCTGACAAAACTGCCATGATTTCCCTGAAGAAGACACTGATCCATCAGAGAGGGTTCACACAAGAGCCGTGGAAGTGACTAAAGAGAGGAGAAAAGCCTCAAATGTCTTAACCTGACAGAAGGCTATGGATCAATAGGGGAGGGTATTGAAAGGAATTTCACTTTCAAGGTTTCTTCAGTCTAGCCATGAGAGACGATCAAAATTTGTGACTGGAAGTTGAAGCTGATCCAAATTCACACTGGAAGCGATACAGAAGGTTTTAGATGAGACAACTTAGCAAAGGTTACATTGTGTTTATTTTCCATTGCTGATTAAATTATGACTGTAATTGGAAAAAAAAGCTTAATTCAAGATGCTTTAAAATTGTTTTGAGCAGCTGTTAAGTGTTTCTGTTTGAGACACATGCTGATAGGGAGTTTGCTGAAAACTGCCCAAATAATTCCGAGTCTAAATTAGGCGAAATGGAGAAGCTGGTCTCCTGCCATGTGACTTCTTTTGCTGCTAATTGCCAGGATGAGCTGATGTGCAAGAAAGAGAGAGAATTTTGTCTCAAGGTCACTAGTTAGAGTCCAGCTCAGGCTGAACGCTTGTAACAGCACCGTCTGACCAGCGTGATGGTCTCCATAGAGATCCCACAGGCCACCGAGCATTGGCCGTTGTGTGAGGCAGCCAACAGAAGAGGGCTTTCTTAACAAGCCAAGTGGCAAGGCAAAGAGGTGAGCATGAAGACAGATGTATTTTCATGCCATAGCCATGAACCAAATCTTCTTTTCTGGGACTGATCTGAACAGGGTATTCATGAGAAGCTTGTGTTCCTACAGCCAAGGTGATAGATGCTGTGTGGGTAGTAGCTACCAGCTTGATCCCTGTCTACAGCAAGAAATCACCTTCACAGTATTGCTACAGGAGGTAGTGGGTTTGACCATTTCATCAATGATACCTTGGCCTTGCATGTGAGACATAGTTTAGGAACTGGGAGCAGCTATGGCAAGGCTTCAGTCTTCCCAGAATTAAGCATTATTTGAATGGTGGTATCTTTTTTTTCATTCCAGGCCAGGAGGATCTAGGTACCTTTGAAGATTCAACCTTGAGGCCTTAAAACTTTTTCTAATGAATGCAAATTAAGAGGTTGGAAAGCCCAGCCACCTTTCATCAGCATTCCCCTTATTCTGGCACAGCTGCTGGGCTGTTGTGTTGGCAGAAACATCCATTTTCCATATATGGCCTTTTCCATTTAGGGATCTCCTCAGACAATACTGTCACGTAGGCAAGTCCTGATTCATAGCACGTTAGCACTGACCGAAGCAAGGGCAGGAAAGATAAAGAGCAGTAATTTTCTATTTCCAGAGGTTTCATATCTTGGTGGTTTTCAAACTCATTAACAGTGACTTGGATATCGTCGGTGCCCAAAGAGGTCACATAAGAAATGACTTCCTAATGCCCTGTAGATGTAGTCACCCTTGCTGATGGTGCCTACCACGGGAATAGCTTTACACCTCTAAGTTACCTGCTTAAGAATTAAGTTGTGACTGTGAAGCCATCAGATGGTCTTACAGGTCTCTGGTATGTATTGTGTACTCCAAGTTAAAATTCAGGGCATACAAGTTTGGCTCAATTATTTATTGTTAAAGCTCTATCAGTGGTTTCCCTTCACATGTGGGTAGCTACTTATAACAGAGATCTCAACTCCAGTGGAGCTTTACTAAGCATGCAGAGATCTATCTGGTAGCTCAAGGGAGCAATACAGATAGTTGATAGTTGTCCCTCCATGCCTGCTGCTGTGCTGGCCCTGCTGAGTCCTTCCTGTGATCAGAGGGTGCTCTTGGAGCTGTGCAGAGTGAGCATCCTTAAATCTCATTTGTCCTCTCCTGGCTGTTGAGCAGCAGTTACATCCCTGCTGTTGTCACGTAAACAGCACTGGAATAGCACTAGGGGTCACACAGCTATCTTGGAGAAAAACTGAATAGCTACAAGGAGCCAGTGACATTGGATCAGATGAAGGACCATGGAGGTGGATGGGCTTTCTGTGGTGCACTGCTTGTGGATTCTCAAGCGCTCTGTGCTGGAGCTTCACCCGTCGTGCACAGCTCACTGCCAGGTACTGGGCATTGGGAGTGTGTCCTTCCTTCAGCTCCTTCGGAAGTCTAGGTTGCTGCATCATAGTGGTGACTGCATAGGGCTGTGATGGCATTTGCCTGTAGTGGTCTCAAGGTTACTTTTAAAGCCTTTCAGGAGAAAAACTGACAAGTGTCTTGCTTGTCTGAATAAACATGATGGGCTGCAGGGTTTAACCTCTGCTCCCAAGTCAGCCGGAGGCCACTGACAGCCTCTGGACCCCTAACAAGGGCCACAACTTTTTAAAGTTGAAAAAGTGATCCGTTTTGCTCTCCTAAATGGGAACAATCTGTTTGTTTTGTCAGATTTCTCTTCATTCTCCTGGGACCGAAGGGCAAAGCGAAGTCCTACCATGAGATCGGCCGAGCCATCGCCACTCTGATGTCAGATGAGGTAGGTGTCTTAACATCTCCTGTGTGAAATGGGTCCTTCACAGGTTTCGCTTTGTTAGCTAATAACATTGTGCTTCCCTCCAGTGTCGTCAACGGGAATTGGCGTAGACATATAAAACTGAAATACCCAAATGTCACCTCCTAATTCCATCTGTTTACATAGTTATTTCATCTGGCCTCAGGTTTTTGTGAAAGCATGCCTGTAGGAAGCTTTTGTCCATCATGTGCTTTCTCCTGCTAGCCATCACTCTTTCAAAGAGACTAGGAGTGAAAGTTTGGCTTCCTCCTGTCGTGGTGTGCACCCTTGTTCAGATCCCACCACCACAGTAACCCACAGCTATGCTCCAGGTAATTACCACAGAGGTGGTTCCACCCAGCGCATGCTGCCATGTGTTGAACTGTGTCCCAGAGCACTTCTTTGTCCAGGCAGTGCTTATATATTATCCATGAGTAGCTAGCAATTACTCACTAATCATACCCCTCAATGAGATGACTGGGCTTTCCGTGTTCATTTAGAGCTTCTCTCTTCCAGCATCCCTTGGGCTCTGCATGTCTGGGGCTGATGGACGTTACATTTGCTTCTTGCTTTCTCCTTAGGTTGTTTTGCCCTAGTATGGTTTCCTTAATTACCACTCACCCTCTCTCAGCTCTTCTGTTTTCTGTCATTCCACTCCTTGGAGCAATTGTCTGGTTTCCGTAGCCCTGAAGTCCTCATTCCTACCACCAACTGCTCTTGCATCTATCACATGTGCTAATCCACCCTCACTCCAAGTAGTCCAAAAGTTTTCTATAAAATTCAGGATTAATACTCCTCTTCTCTTCTCTTCCTCTTCTCTTCCTCTTCTCTTCTCTTCCTCTTCTCTTCTCTTCCTCTTCTCTCTCTTCTCCTCTCTTCTCCTCTCTTCTCCTCTCTTCTCCTCTCTTCTCCTCTCTTCTCCTCTCTTCTCCTCTCTTCTCCTCTCTTCTCCTCTCTTCTCCTCTCTTCTCCTCTCTTCTCCTCTCTTCTCCTCTCTTCTCCTCTCTTCTCCTCTCTTCTCCTCTCTTCTCCTCTCTTCTCCTCTCTTCTCCTCTCTTCTCCTCTCTTCTCCTCTCTTCTCCTCTCTTCTCCTCTCTTCTCCTCTCTTCTCCTCTCTTCTCCTCTCTTCTCCTCTCTTCTCCTCTCTTCTCCTCACATTCATTCTTCATCAGTGGGAGTAGACCTTTCAGTAAAACTAGTCTGTGCTTCTTGTTACTGTTTTTGAGGAAATATTGTCATTATTTCTATGTCACAGGGTTGCAAACTAACTGTTTTTTGCATAGTAGGTAGAAAAAAAGGATTGACACTTTTGTGGCTTTGTATAGGCATCTTCTCCAGATATAACTGAAACTCCTTATTTATCAGAAAACTCTTTTTGAATAAAAGAAATGGATACTTCCTTTATTAACAGTTTTTGTAAGGATATAAATATATGTTTTGCTAAAAATTAGAAATATGCTTGCAAGAAAAGAACCTCCATCATTAAATGACCAACCAAAGAAGAGGACTTTCTTGAGATTTACATATCCTTGTATCAAGCCTCCTGATACTTTTAAATTGAGAATGAGTAAGTTATTTTTGTAGAATAAACCACAGTAGCTGCCTCCAGAGCCTGGGCTACAGAAAAGGAAACCTTTTCTACACGGAGTCTCTCTTTTCTTTGCAGGTATTCCATGACATTGCCTACAAAGCCAAGGACCGGCAGGACCTGATCGCTGGCATCGACGAGTTTCTGGATGAAGTCATTGTGCTCCCCCCAGGGGAGTGGGATCCAGCCATTAGGATAGAGCCCCCCAAGTCTCTTCCTTCTTCAGATAAAAGGTAACGGCAGGAGACAGGCAGGTTTGGCTCTGAGGTGAAGGGCAGTGTGCGTCAGTTCTGAAAAGGTGATGGGAAGAGATGGTGCTTTGGGTACACCAGGTATATTGACCAATTGCAGAGTTACCTGCATCTGTCTGTATTTAGAAAGTGCTAGAGATACTTTTGGTCTTGTTTAAGAGCTGGAGGGTGGATGTTCTTGCCCTTTGAGGTGATGCTATAAGCATATAATAACATAGAATAGCGGTTATTCGGAGTCTTCAGGGTTCTGCTTGGTGTTCCTAGCACCCTGTGTTGCGCTCTGGCTGCCAGTCTTCTAGTCCCCTTTGTACAACCTGGCTTCAGGAGAGGCTGTGTAATGCTTGTTTGGAGGAACCATGTGTGGGTTATGGTCTGTGGAGCTGTCGGGTGGTGCAGTGATCCTCCATTTGGCTTTCCTTCTTGCCTAGGAAAAACATGTACTCTGGTGGAGAAAATCTGCAGATGAATGGAGACACACCTCATGATGGGGGACACGGTGGCGGGGGCCACGGGGACTGCGAGGAGCTGCAGAGAACTGGCAGGTCAGTAACATGTCACTGGGCCCGAGGCACCAAGCAGAGGTTCAACATCTCTCTTGCAGAACTCTTCCACCCCTTTCCCTTTCCATCCCAACATCCTGTTCATGTAGGTTGAGCTGTGACCCCTAAATGTGTCCTGGGGTTTTTAGTGCTCAGCTTGAGACATTCTGAAGGGTTTTAAACATCCAGCCTCAGCACTTTACAAATTTAATTACATTAAATGAGGCACTCAAAATTGAACGAAGGTGCAGGGAGCTGTTGGCTACTGAAAAGCTGAGAACTTGTACAGACGCTAAGGGATGTGAATGTGGCAGGCACATCTACAGTTTCCACTTGGATTGCTGGAAGCAGTGTAGCCAAAGGCAGAAACTTTTCCAGACATTCCTGTTTTAGTTGAATTGCACAGAGGAAGGCTTTTATAGGATAGAAACACAGAAGGTAACGGAGCCCGAGGCCTTACTCTGCTGTATTGCTCTGCTTGTATTCCATGTAAAAGTCGACTAGAGTGGGAACACCATTCAGGTGGTCATAAAACACTGTGCTCAGCCTGTTGGGGTCACCGCACAGGTTTTCATGCACCCTTCCTCCTACTCTAGATGTTTTTTTAAGTTCTACCAGAATGGCTAAATTCTAGGAGAAAAGTGTGAAATTACCCATCAGTGTGTACAAGGCAGTTGATAGGTCCTGATTCTGGGTCAGAAAGTTAACCTGTGGCTGTCAGCCACGTGCCTCTCTGTGTACAGAGCATTTGAGCAGTCCTGGTGTAGGCAGTGAGCCACATACGAGGCAACAAAGAGGCAAAAGGGAAACATATTTCATGCTGGCAGTGTCAGAGCCACGTGGAATTTTTTATGAGTTGAATACTGTCTTGTCTGTGACTGTACAAAACCAGTATGTCTGTAAGTGGAGCTCTCCTGTTCTCCAAGATGATTTTACTTCCTTGCATTTTTACTTCTAGGTCTTTTCATTGTTCTAGTTCTTTTCCTGGTGAACTATTTGAAGCATTTTTCCATCTAGCAGATTTTTTTGCTCACTTAACCATTATATCTGCCACATGGAGAAACTGAGGCAGGGATTTAGACTAATGTGTTTTATTACATCAACCAATATAGCTGGGAAAAAACCCAACAGGCAAGCTTCCTGAGCTGCAAATGTTAGTGGTCTGTTTCAGCAGAAGTAGGGCTTGTGTTCCTGAAAATTGTCTTTCCAGCTCCATCACATGTTCAAGATACTATCTTTCTTTACAGCATTATCTCAGTGATATTCCTGGACCATCACAGCCAGGATAAGACAATTATATAATGTGATGATCTCACTCCTTTCAGATAATACTTCATTTCTGGCAGTGGTTCTGATTACTTATCGTGGTGATTTTTGCTGTAAAACATTTTGCATGAGTCTTCTCTTGCTTGTCTTTTCAGGTTCTGCGGTGGCTTAATCAAAGATATCAAGAGGAAAGCACCGTTCTTCGCCAGCGACTTCCTCGACGCTTTAAATATTCAAGCCCTTTCAGCTGTTCTCTTCATCTACCTGGCCACAGTGACCAATGCTATCACTTTTGGAGGGTTGCTTGGTGATGCTACAGAAAACATGCAGGTGAGCAAGAGCTCTCAGAAGCAGCGTATGTGTCCTTTGCCTTTTGCTGCCTATGGTCAGAGGAGTGTTTGGCCACCAATGTAGCTTGAATTCTGGGTACAGTTAACAGAGATATCCTGTGCTTCCACTGAAAGCTGGCTTGAGTTCTCTACTGTTGGGTAGCTGTCCTTTGAAAAATTGTACAAGCAGTTACCTTAAATGGTGTTTGAAAGGTGGCCAGGCAACGGAGAAGGTCCTTGCTCCTTCTGTGTAGAGAAGTTCTCTGATCTACTCTGTGTTTGTGTCTCGGTCATACCGTTTCAGTCCAAGTAAGTTTACTAAGTCTGACTCAGACTTTCCATGTCATCAGAGCTTAGCACTGTATCCTCTGCATGACACTTACCATCCCTGGGCCTCTGCCTCTCTGGCGAAAAGAGAATCCTGAGCTTCGTAGGGAAAAGCGAGTAAACTAGGACATGTGAAACAGGAGAAAAATGCAGGTTCTGTAGAAAGATGAATTTTGTAATAGTGGGAAGATCTACTCCTGAGAACTATATTGTCTATCCAGAGACTGGCTGGATCAGCAATGTAGGCAAGAGTAGGGGCTTCAAAGGATGCCTGAGTTAAATGATGTCTAAAGAAAAGGGAGTCTGTATTAACACTGCTGTAGGTCCTTGATGTTTGACTGGAGCAGATTTATGCTTTAGCAGTGTGCTTCAGTGTTCCTTTGGCTTTTTGAAGAGGAAGAAACAAGAGGAAGTTGTATTAAGATAGATTCAGTGCAGTCACGTTGACCCTCATAACAATAATTAAGCTCGTGGTGGCAATTACTGAACTGTTAATTTACACAGGTTTAATTAAACCAAGCATAGAAGAGGGGGGCACCTCTCTGGAGCTCTGCACTCCCCTGTGACATATTACAGGCTAGAGCAAGATTCAGCAAAGCTCTCTTCACCATTCTTGTTTGATGGCATTAGGTCAAGAGCTGCAGGAACCTTGAAAGGCTTTTGACTGCAGATTTTCAATAGAAGAGCAAAATAGTGTGTTCTTCATGCTCAAATGGCCCTGTATCATCAGGGCCAGAGTGAGGCATCCTAGGGTACCCTGCTGAGGTTGTCCCTCCAGGTAGCTGCTCAGTGGGATCAGGGTCCAGGTTCATGTCAAGGGTTGGTCAAACCATCACACGTTAGTTTGGAAGCATGGGTTTCTGTAAGATGTCTCAGAGCTTGAGCTGCCCTGATTCTTCATACTCAGAAATTCGAGAGAAGATCATGCCAGCTTCTGCAGCTGAGGAGCCAGAACCTAGAAGTTGTCCTCTGGACCTTCTGTCCTTGTAGAATACAGTGGTTTTGGGGCTACTGCATCACAGTTTACGCTTCTTGTTTCTTGTAAACAATTAAGTGACTGCTGCTGGGTCAGGCGCTAAAAATGGCCCATCCTGCAGCGCCTGCCTCAGAGGGCCTGACATGGCCAACACTTCTTTAAAAGCTCACTTCAGAGTTTTATGTTTCTGAGAAAAGACACTATTCTTAGCTACAGACACGTGGAAGAATGCAGGGAAAAGAGATTCCAGATGCGCTGGCCACGAGGGCCCTCTCTGTGAGCAGTGTGGGAGGAGTGGAGGGGATCAGCTGTGTGACACCAATCCTTGCCCCAGGAGCAGTCGTCTCATCCTGACAAGTCCCCAAAAGGCAGCAAGCAGAGGCTCATAGGCTGCTGTCCATGTCTCCTGTAACAACCTGTGCCATCCTTGTGGGAAGGCTGCGGGTCGCCCTGCAAGGGCCACCACTGTTGGTGGTGGGCATCACCAGTAGCACTTAGAAATGGAAAGGACCAAGGATGTCATCTCCTGCCAAGCTTGTGATTGCTTTAGAGAAAGTTCTGCTGGTAATGTAGTAGATAAAAAAAAAAAAGAATCCTCTGATCTACATAGTAACATACTGGTTTGACATATGATGGTATGAATAGACTGTCCTCAGTGTAAACAGTAACTTGGGTCTTTCCAAGAAAGAGTGCTACAAAACCTCATCTAAATTCTTTGCATTATCACTGATAAGTCAGAGGAACTGCAGCCCTGCCCCTGCAGTTTGTCAGGGCTGGAAAGAAGGATCTGCCTGTGCTTCTAATTGCAGCACAAGGAGTGTTAATGAGGTTGCTGACTCAGACACAGCTATGAGGAAGCACGTGAGCCTGCGCTGAAGTCCTGCAGGGTAAGGAGCCCTGGAGAGGGTGATGCTGCTGGCTCCTCATCTTACTCAGTAGAAGATTCTCTATTTCATCCACAGATTGCATTTAAAAGTGGATTTTCTCCAGCTCTAGTTGAACGTGAAAATCCAAGAATGCATGCAGCACGCCCTTTTATCCAAGTTGTCTTGCCACACATGCCAAAGGTAGTTGTAGAGCCTGTTAAATGTGGAATTTATTACGTTCTGGTGACATCTGATGAACTGGGGTCTCAACACACAACTGCTGGATGAAGTGACCTTGTTTGGTTTGTGTCTCCCTTCCTAAATCTTGAAAGAGAGGTGTATTGTTTATGTAGGAATTAGAAAACCCACCCTTTTTTGTCCTGGGGTTTGTCAGCACTGTCCTCCTGTCATGCACTTCCATGGCTTTCTGAAGAGCCCCGCAAACATTAACCTTCATTGTCAAAGATCTGGGAGATGTTCAGGAAGTTCTGTTTGAAAATGCTCTCCTCCCCTTGTCAAATAGAGAATGCAGTATAGTGTTGTTGAACTAGTGGGCCACAGAAATAACAAGGGGGCTTGCTGGTCAGCTTGGAGTAAGCAGAACAAACACGTTCTTTTTTATTGTGGAGATGCAGGAGAAGGCAGGAGATGGTCTTCCCTTGGTGTTGGACACACCGGCATACAGCATGCCACCGATCACTGATGTAACTTCTCATTCTCTTGGAAGAGTGGCTGATAGCAGGGGTTACTCAGGAGAACTCACTTCTCTCCTCTGTCTGCGGCAGGGCGTGCTGGAGAGCTTTCTGGGCACAGCAGTCACTGGCGCCATATTTTGCCTTTTTGCCGGTCAGCCACTCACAATTCTGAGCAGCACAGGACCCGTCCTGGTCTTCGAACGGCTTCTCTTTAATTTCAGCAAGTAAGTACCGGGCTGGAGGAGGGGAGGGGGAGGAATGCCTGCCACTAATGAAATACTAGTTAGGGAATGAGGTGGCTGGCAGTGAGGAAGGAGGGGATTTGGGGCATGAAATGAAACATCCCGCTGTTCTGTGTTGGGGTGGCAGTGCAATCACATCGGGGATTTTCATAGGCATGCATGGCCCAGGGCACTGCCTGCTGCTCTCCTTGAGGCCTCCTGGAAATTCTTGGCCAAACTTGTCCTCAACAAGAAGTTTGCACTGCTTGCAGTGACAGGAACGACTATCGGTCTCTCTCTGTCTCTAGAATTCCTCATGGAACTCTGCTGCATTCAATGTTTTTGGATTTTTTTTTCCCATTTAACTTTTCTGCTCCCTCCACACCATGTTTATGTTTATGCAGTGATGGTAGTTGGCACCCAAGCTAAAGGGTACCCATTTTGTTAGATGTTCTCACTTAGTATTCCCATATCTCCAATGCTGGCAAAATATCATGAGAATCCCTAAAGGAATCGACATATTCAGTGGTAACTTCACATCTGTATTCATTGATGATTTCATGTGTAGGACTGCTGATACTTCAGATGGTGTTTTAGAAGGAGATCATTTTAGGTCATACAGAAAATGCCCCAAATCACTTGTAGCCCCCCCTTTCTCCCATCAGGGAGCATTTTTCAGTGCTCAAACCTGAGAGCTTTTGGAGGTAAGGCATTATTACTAGGCTATCCTTCAAAAGCAGTCGCCTGTGATGTGGAACAGCTCTTTGGCTGTCAGTGGTTATTTTTAGAAAAGGCCTATTGAATTATTAAGCTGGACACGGCTGCAGGTTGCAATAAGGCAGGAGTCATGGTATATGTTTGGTTGTTTAGTTGTATCTCCTCCCTCGTTATATTTAGTCCCTGTGGGTAGATGCTCGGAAATAATTGAGAGTGTATAATCTGTCTTTCCTGTGAGTAGTTGGAGAAGTTGCTAAGGCAGACGGAGTATTTCCACGTGATCCTGCACACACAGTGCTACACCATACTCTTTTGGGGCGAGATGATGTCTTTTGGGAATCGATAATACTCATTGCAGTGTGAGCCATCCACTCGCTCTCCTTGGGAGGGTCTGCTCAGTCTTGCCAAGGAGGGACAGAGGAGGAGGGCTTGGAGCACAAGGATAGAGGCTGGAAAAAAACAGACAGAAAATGAGACTGGCTTGGAGAGGAAAACTGGAAGCTGCCGATCCATGAATGCTCCACAGCAGAGCAAGAGGAAGGCACCTTTCTTTTCTTTATTCTGCAGAATAAATGAGTAAAATCAGGAATAGATGCACTAGAGCTGTTTGCATCTGGCAGGCAGGTCAAAGCCCAGGTGCAGCACACAAAAGGAAAAAAGCAAGGTGGAAAAACACTTTGTGCAAGTTTGAGAGGGAGAAGGTGGTTATTTTTAACCTGCAGAGAAGGTGGTGGTTATAAAAGCTATTGTCCTAACAACCTGCTGGAGCAGAATGGCAGGATTTTAAAGGGAGTCTTTCTCACAAGGAAATTGGAACCAAGCGCTGTGATTTTTCAATAATGCATTTGTGATTGTTCGGATTCACAACACCCTGTTCCCTGCTGGGAGCAAGATTAGAAAGACTTCCCATCTACCAATTCATTTAAAGTTTGACTGCGCATGTGTGTGTGCAGGGAGAGATCTCTAAAAAAGCCTCATGTCCCCAGCCGTGCTTCTGGCTTTGGGCACCAGCAGGGTGGGTTGATGCTACAGGATACCCTGGGTCAGCACACGTCCTGCCTGGTGACCTCTGCTCCCACGCAGTGTCTTTCCCATGCCTGTTGTGAAATGAGTTTCCGAGCTAGAAGCAGTGGGAAGCGAGGCAGTGGGCTCCCCAGGAAAGCAGGACCCCAGCCCTTCTGCCTTGCAGCCACAAAAGCAGGCTGTTAGGAAAGTTTCTCCTCCAGAGACCTCGGAAAGAAAATTAGTCACTGCAAAAGTACTTGTGTTGTGCATGTGAAATGTCCTCTGCTTTTTCATCTGCTCTGTGAGCTTCAAAAGTGCTGCAGGAGGGGGCAGAGGGGAACCAAAACCACAGCTTAAAAGCTTTTCAGGTTCTTCAGTGCTGCTTTGTACTTCTTGATCCTCTCCTGCTGATATTTTGATTTCTGCAGATAGTGCACAGGCCTGAGAGGTGGCAATGCAGGCTCCTGAGCACAGGGCTTGGCAGGAGATTGCTTTTCTGAAGGAGGTTCATGAACTGTGTTTACATCTTCAGCCAGTGGAAAGATGTCAGCGATGAGCTGCTCTTAGTCCGGACAGCTGGATGTTTGGGCCTTTGCAGCTCAGGGTGTGTTTGCCAAGGGAGGATTTTTACTGAGAAGCCTAGAAAGAGCTTGAATTCACAGGTAACATTTCTTAGTGAAGGCATAAGCAGGACTGATCACTTCTGCATCCATTTCTGCCACCTTGGCTGTTAAACCACGCTGCACACATTTATGGAATTGGCTGGCAAAAACTCTAACCGGGAACACTCTCGTTGAGTCAAAATGAGCACAAGTCCCAGAGGCTGTGCCTGGGAAGTCATAATCCTGCCTGGCTTTATCTAACCCCTATCTTTTCCCTTCCTGCCACCCTTGTCTTTTTGCAGAGACAATGATTTTGACTACCTGGAGTTTCGTCTCTGGATCGGGCTTTGGTCAGCCTTCCAGTGTCTCATTCTGGTTGCTACCGATGCCAGCTTCCTGGTCAAGTACTTCACCCGCTTCACCGAAGAAGGTTTTTCCTCCCTGATTAGCTTCATCTTCATTTACGATGCTTTTAAGAAGATGATCAAGCTGGCAGATCATTACCCGATCAACTCGGAGTTCAAGGTGGACTATATCACACATTACTCTTGTGCCTGTGAACCATTAGATCCGGGTAAGAGGCTGTTTAATTAGCTCTTCACTTAGCAGCGAGGTGATTGCGTTTGCTTTCTGTTCTCTGTTATGCTGCAATCCAGATAATAAACAGACAGATTAATCCTTCTTTATCAGTCGTCTTCAGATTTCCTATCTCAGCCTTATTCTAAGGCTGAGGGCTGAATTTCACCCTGTGTGCCAAGTGGAATGTCTTTATAGCCAGCCTTCCTGGGACTCCTCATGTGAGCATCATTACCAGTGGAGAAGGTGTTTCTGTACCCTTGTCTCCTCACATCCCTGTGGGTGTTCATTCTGAATGGTATGCCTCTGAGAAGTCTGGGAAGGGGCAGAAGTGGTGGTCGTGGTGCTCAGGTCGTTCCTGGTATCCACTGTGTCATTTTGTCAAGTGCAGGAGCTGGATTTATTCAGGGCGTTGCCCAAACATGGGTGGGTTTCTACCTCCTGTATGAGTGGAAAAGCACAAATGGTTCCTCACTAGGGTGGAAGGGAAGGATATCCACAGTTCAGCCTATCACTAGAGCATGGGCTGCAAGGCAGGTGGAGCCAGCTTACATGTAGATCTGGCAACACAACCAGGAACAAACAGTTACAAACCCCAAATATGCACTGGCTCATACCATTTGGGAAGCTGTGACCACTCCTAGGATCCTTCAAACAATGAGGAATGAGTAAGAAACTTGGTTTGTGCTCAAAGTAAACTTCAGGTTATCTTGATGTACCTGTCAAACAGGAAAAGCTTCTGGTTACCGGTAGGTGCCTCTGTGCAAAAGGTGTCAGGAACTGGATCTCTAGGAGCCTTGTGCTTACATTAGTTCTGAAATGTAGGATCTCTGCCAGCGCTTGGATATTGGTCAAGTTCTGCTTCCGTTTGAATGGCAGCTAAGTGGCCTTATTCTCCATGTTCAATTTGTCTCCATAAGATGGCCAAGTAGAGGCGGAATATTGTCCTTGCAGTTGCTAGGTGCTTTGAAACAAAGCTCAGGACCGTGAGCTGGAGCTGACTCTTCCTGAAAGTACACACAAAAACCTAAATAAAACATGAGGACACAGTTGCCAAACCTATTTTCAGGAAGGATTGCATTTCTAAATGAAACTTGAGAGAAATTATTTTCAATCCCATGAAAACAAAAGGAAACAATGAACTCTGCCCCTTTTTTCAAAGACATTATCTACATCCTGGTCATTTCAGTTAGTCTTTATCTTTTTTTTTTTTTATTTGTTAACTCCAAGACTGTGTTTGTGGTGGATTCTGAAAAGCATTTTGCTTTTCTGGATATCTCTGGCGTTGTGCATTCATTTGAAATTAATAATTAGGAGTGTTCTGTGGATATTTCTTTTAATCCAGGAATTGTTAGATAAATATTGCAAACCCATTTGTCTGTTTTTCTTTTCTTTTTTTTTTTTTTTCACAATGACCTCAAAAAAACCCAGTTAGGTTTGACTTATATCTCACTTAGCCTTTTCTTTCATTTTTTTAAGTGATAGATGCTTTCAAGTCACTCTGAAGTGATACTTTTGATTCACTTTACTTGAGCAGAAAGATTGCATACAGTTTGATGGAGTTAATGAATGACTGAATAGTTGAAATTTGCTTTCCTTGCTAGCACTGTGCTCATGGGATTCCTTTCTCTGCCCTCTCTTGCAGTTAATAGCTCATTATTTAACGGGACTCCGGTGCCATCAGCTGATGAGCTGCTGTATTCCTCCACAGAGAAGGTAGGGGTCCTTTGCAGGGGGATTGTTCATCACTGGGTCATTAGTTAGATCCTTGTGTCCAGCGCTGTAAAGCAGCAATGTTGTGACAAGCAGTTCCTTTGGAAGGTCTTATTTCCATTCCCTTCTTTAGTTTTTCTGTAGCTAACCCTGGCTTTTCTACTTTTCACTCCCGTAGTGAACTCTGGATGATGAGGAGAAGGAAATGGAGCTTGATGGGACCAGATATGTTTGTGTTTGATGCAGGTGGGGAGTAAATTGAGACACAGACTAACAACTTTCTGCTGAAGGATACAGATCCTACCCGTCTGTGTTTCTGGTCACATGGTGGCCACTCTTGTTTGGCACCAAGTGGCCCAGCAGAAAGGGAATGGTTTCTGAGGTAGACATGCTATCTGCAGACACCAGGAAAGCAAGAGCATTATCCAGAGTCCCTAAGGGGTCCATCACAGGGTGAAGAAATGGAAGCGAGGTCTCCTGATGGCCTCGTGTGCTCTTTACTTCTCCTAGCCATCTCCACCACCCCACCTCTATCAGCCAGCTGCAGTCCCTGAGCATCTGAGCTATCTGCTTCTGGAAAGGCTGTAAGTGAGGGTCTCCTTGTTCAGCTGCCCGCCACAGACAATAATGCTTGGAGGACAGAGGAAGTTCACTTTGGGAGGTCTCCCAAAGAAGAGGGCTACCCTCTGCTTTCTGCTCTCTGACACCCCCCGTGGAGATCTTACCTATTGAACACTCCCTGGTGCTTATTTCTGTAGATGTAAAATTGAAAAATGTAAATTATGCCCCCAAATACTTGGGGTTCAGCCTGTTTTCCTGCTTTGAAAGCCACCTTCACTCTCCCCTCTGTGCCATCCTTAAGTTAGGCAGTCAGAGCAGATGTGCAGAAATCAAGCTGAAGAGGGACAAAGTGCTGCTGCTCAATGCCACGGAGAGGGACAGTGCTGAGAGAGCAAAGTAGCAGCACCTTCTAAAAACAGCAGGACAGAGCTGGGGGACTGCTGGTGTTGTTTGCTCCCCTCCACCATCAGCATCAGCAAAATCAGGCTCTTGGGATTCACAGCATTTGCTGAGGAAGCTGCAGTTGATTCCATGCAGCTTCAGACCACAGCTTGGTAAGCATCCACTTTGGAGGCGTATTTATTCTCTATAACTTAAAAAATTGGAGTAAAACTCTCTTTCCTCTCTATGAATTTATTAATGTTGAGTTATTTTAAAATATTCTTTCGCTGTGATGCCATGGTCTCCAGGACTATGGTTTCGTTCATTGGTGTTTTCATTATGAAAAGGAGGAGCAGAGATAAAGTGATTCTCAAACTACCCAGATGGAATTTTGTAGGTACCTGCTAATACTTCTGTTTTCTTCTTGGTGTTAGCATATATTCACTGCATTCCCACTCTCCCTTCTCTGTGCACCACCAGAACAGCCTTATGAGACAGCTGCTATATGCACATTTATATTCTCAGCCTCTCATGCATTTGGATTTTTTCTGTCCTCATCTCTGTGCTGACGTGATGATGAATTTTGCAGGGCAGGGAGGGGAAAAGCCCTTTCCTTGGGCTTTTCTTTGCATGTCTGGCCTTCTGAGGGTGCTGATAAACTGTTGGCTTTGACAAAGTACACAGGAGGGTGATCTTTCTGCTTTGGAAATGGTGCTAGCCTTGATGACAGAGAAGCAGGTTTTGGTTTGGTGTTGCCCGCAGTGAACCAGCAGCAGGGAGTGGGTGCAGAGGTGGTCTCAGGCCACTCCAGCTTCTGTGTGAGGTTCTCAGCCTTGCCTTTCCCCAGTGGAAAACACACAGCATGTCTGGCAGACCACAGCAGAGCTCAAAAGATCTCTGTCTTCTTCCTGAGGCCCAGCCTGTCCTCAGTTCCCAGGTAATATCCTTTGTCCAGGTTAAAATCCATTCTGTCTGTGCACAAGCACAGGGTTTTTTAGCCTCTGCACCTGCCTTCCATTTTCTCTCAGTATTTTTCCCAATGCTC